CCTGGCTTATTTAGGGTTTAACTGTATATAATAATGTAGATTGTAAAGTACAGAAAGGAATTGTGATAATGATTATTTATTCTAGTAATATTCATACAAAGCACTAAAACCCCAATTTGCCTTTTTTTGTTGTTTAAAATGGATATACATCCAGCTTTTAAAGCTATTGCTTACAAATTCTATCCCACCAAACTTTTGTATTCATAGTTTTTTTTTCACAAATTGTTAGTTTCAGTTAATGTGTGTCAAAGGTTTACGGCATCAGGTTAAAAAATAAAAAAAAACATTTTGAGACAAGTCGCCCCCACCCCTCCGACGGGGATAGGGAAAATATGTTTGAAGCAATTAATCAGTTCCATTTTTGCCCCCCCCCCCCCATCCTTAGTAAACATTAGGGTAAAAGTAGCTCAAATACAAAATTTTAGCATTTTTAAATAATTTTCCCAAATGGCCCAGGCATTTTACTGCTTTTCTCGCCATTTTTGGCCTTTTTTAACGTTTTTTAACCATGCTCAGCTAAATTGGGTTAACTCTGTCAATGGTCAAGGGATTTTAAAGAGTGATACCATTTTGGAAATCATTGGTTATGAAGATATTTGAGACTTTTTTTCGAATTCGATTTTTTGATGGTCAAATATTTTGAAAATTGCGTCTTTTTTACACCTTTTATCGGCTCCATCTGGGAGTGGTTAAAGTAATATTTGAAAAAATTTTGACAGTTTATAAATGGCCTAAAAAAATGTTTTATTTACAAGTTTAGATTGAAAGTAATTGATGTGTAAGTTATTGAGCAAAAAATCCATCAAAAACCCATTTCCTTTGCAATTTTCTCCTTAACTTCTCTTGCTTGGCCAAATGATGCAACTTAAAGAAAATGGTTTTTATAAAAAGATGCATTTTGATGTCTCTATAACATAGCAAAAATCAAAACTCCAATATCTTTAAAGAACATAGAGTTATTAACCTTTATAACTTCAATGGGCCTGACAGCAATGTCACTCAAAAACCAGGATTTTACGCGCTGCTTAACTTGTTAACAAAAATGTCCAAAGCTCAGCTGTCTTAAAAGATATCCAACATTTGTTTTTTTCCTGTGCAATCTTAACATCAAAGAGCATCTTTTTATGAAAATTTATGAACATTTTCTTAAAAATTGAACATTTGGTAAAGAGGAGTTCAGGAGAAAATTGCCCCGGAAACGGGTTTTTAATGGATTTTTTGGCCCATATCCATTTGCCTCTAAAATTGTTGATAAAAAATTATTTAGGCCATTTCTGAATGGTCAAAATATTTTCAAATAGTATGGTGTTGAGTGTGTCGCACATCTGGGAATTCTTTTTCAGAGACACCCTTCCCATCCTCCCCTCTCCCACTAGGATAGGGTTAATATATTATGCTACATGGTTTATATCATTATTGGTAATTACATATATGTTATAGATGGTAGAGTACAGTGTAGAATTGTGATTATACAAAATTCCGATAAACCTAAGAAATATTGCTGAAATATGGATAGAAAGTTTTATATAAGTTTTCTTCATAAATATTTTTTTATTCTCTCATGTTGAATTAAACATTTTTTTATCTTAAAAAACGAAAAAAAGGTACATTTATTTTGAATTGGGTCTGCTACACTATCCTCTAACCTGGGTCTGTTACAATATCCTCTAAACTGGGTCTACTACAATATCATCTAAACTGGGTCTGCTACACTATACTCTAAACTGGGTCTACTACAATATCCTCTAAACTGGGTCTTCTATATTATCCTCTAAACTGGGTCTGCTATACTATCCTCTAAACTGGGTCTGCTACACTATCCTCTAAACTAGGTCTACTACACTATCCTCTAAACTGGGTCTTCTACACTATTCTCTAAACTGGGTCTACTACACTATCCTCTAAACTGGGTCTGGTACACTATCCTCTAAACTGGGTCTGCTATACTATACTCTAATCTGGGTCTGAGACACTATACTCTAAACTGGTTCTACTACAATATCCTCTAAACTGGGTCTGCTATTCTATCCTCTAAACTGGGTCTGCTTCACAATCTTCTAAACTGGGGCTGCTTCACTATCCTCTAAACTGGGTCTACTTCATTTTCCTCTAAACTGGGTCTGCTATTCTATCCTCTAAACTGGGTCAACTTTACTATCCTCTAAACTGGGTCTGCTTCACAATCCTCTAAACTGGGTCTACTTAACTTTCCTCTAAATTGGGTCTGCATTACTATCCTCTAAACTGGGTCTGCTATACTATTCTCTAAACTGGGTCTGCTTTACTATCCTCTAAACTGGGTCTGCTATTCTATCCTCTAAACTGGGTCAACTTTACTATCCTCTAAACTGGGTCTGCTTCACTATTTTCTAAAAGAATAATTGATATTAATATTTTAGTTTAGGTGTAAACATTAAAAAATGATAAAAAGACCTTCAACCCTGTCCAATAATTATATATAATCTACTGATATATCACTTCAATACAACATTATTAAAATACGATCTACAATTGTGATTGCTCTTTACTGAATAATATATAACATAAAATATACTTATTAAGAACATGAATTTGAAATTAAACAACACGCATAAAAGATACAAATTCTATCACATTTGTCACAAAATCGGATCTGTTTGTATATTTCATTTAAAATTCTGTTAGATACAAAGTTTGAAATATCAAATGTTAGATAAAGGGATTTAAAAATTTGAGTTTGTGGCAAAAACTGCAATTCCTTTGAGAGTGAATAAAAATGCCACTTTCACAGCAAAATTGAAATGCTAAAATTCATTATAGGCCTAGTAGCATAAAAGGGTAGAAATATCAGCTATTTATTTCATAAAACAAATTTGAATCTTGTACAAAATTCTTAATATCCTAGCTAATCACATTTTAAGGTACAATTCTGGAATGTTATAAACAACGTGGTTAATTGTATAGGCCGAGAACTATACCGAGAGCGTACTGCAAATATGTTTATTATATAAGGAGATTCTGCAGGTCTAACCTACAGTAAATCATTATTAGCATAGAGTAAGGAAACGAAGAGGTAAAGCCATAGAGAATAGAATATATATTACATGGGAATTTAGAGAATCTCTCGGTATGAATTTTTTCAGCCTGAAAGTGAGTTCAAAGTGTACAAATCATGTAAATGTTCACAAATTATATGCAGTAGAGTACATTAATACAGTATGTTCCCTAGACTGTTCATTTCAATTTCGAATTTTTTAAAGCTGTTAAATAAGCTTTATAATGAATTTGGTGAATAAAAAATATGATTTGATTTATAGTTATAACGGAAAATCATCGTTTGTAAAGTGAAAGAGTCTAAGTGAAACCAGCCTATTTCATAATTTGGTTTTCTTCTAACATTAATTTTAGATTTTCTATAAAATGATATTCCAGGGCCCAAAAGGTTATATAGCATAAATATGTGAAGTACACCTGCAGTATGGAAACAGTACAACAAAATGGCCGTTTTACACTTTTTTCTAGTAAATTCCCCTCNTTTGATGGAGGAATTTTATTAAGACAACCAATTGAAATTTTATAAATTTTAATTAATATATTTTTAAAATTTTAATTGAAGCTTCTTATTACTACACAAAGAAAAAATGATCAATTCGAAAAATAAGAAAGTTTAAAAATTAATTGAGAACAATTTCGTTGAATTTTAGACTTAATCTCATGTTCAATTTGATTCCTGAATAGCACGAATCTATGAAATTGTGGGCGCTTCTTCACGCTAAACTTAAGTAAATTTCACGTAGTATTGGCATCGTTTATGTCTACAATCAGAAGTCCTTTTATTGTACAAAGATGTTAAACATTTTAATGTAAACTTCCCATGCTTGTGTGATATAAGGGGTCGCAAAGTCTTACCAGTAATGTCGCAAAAATTTGACCTTTTTCTTCTTCTGTCTTGTTAGTGCAGTGTCGAGTTCTCAAAGGGATCACTCACTTATTTTAAATACACCATGGTGTTAAGTAACAATTTTCCAAGTGGCAGCTTCCCAAATGTAGGTTAAGCTCTCTGAGACGCCGCAGGATGCAATGGGGGGGGGGTCGAGCGCTGCGGATAGGACGGCTTGGAAGAGTTTATCATTTGATTCGCATCACTCTTAGATAAAAAAAATTATTTTAAATCTATGTTAAGTCGTCTATAACTTTTTTAAGTCTAGAACTTTTAAGGAAACGCTATATATAATATATATATCCTTGGAGCGAAAAAGTAATGCCATAATCAATTATAATTACTAATCCTTTAAGGTTTAAAAGTAGATGGAGTTTACATAATAAGTTAAAAAGGCGACATCTCAGAATTTTTTAAAATTAAATTTTTCAAACTTTTTTAAGGGAGGAGATCAAACAAACAAATAATTTTTACTGTCAATGTTTAAATTCATTTCTTCAATTTTAAATAAAAAAAATACTGTGAAATGATTTTGAAAAATGACTTTTCTTTAATTTAGTGGTATATGTTGCAGTATGGGGTGTGGTATGAATGTATATGGTGCAATAAGGTTTGTGGTATGAATGTAATTGGTGCAGTAAGGTGTGTGGTATGAATGTATATGGTGCAGTAAGGTGTGTGGTATGAATGTATATGGTGCAGTAATGTGTGTGGTATGAATGTATATGTTGTGCTATGGTGTGTGGTATGAATGTATATGGTGTGCTATGGTGTGCGGTATGAATGTATATGTTGTCCTATGGTGTGCGGTATGAATGTATATGGTGTGCTAAGGTGTGTGGTATGAACGTATATGGTGTGGTAAGGTGTGTGGTATATATGTATATGGTGTGGTAAGGTGTGTGGTATGTATGTATATGGTGTGGTAAGGTTTGTTAAGGGGTGTTTGCAATGATAAATGTGTGAATATCCAGCTTGAGTTAAACGTGTTGAACAATATGTAACGATTAATATCGAATTCAATTCAACCTATATCCTCCTTTTATAATCCCTTAAAGTAAGTGTGTTCAATGATGTGTGTATGGTGTGTTTGAATGTGGTCAGCTGTGCTAGTGTGTTTAATGATGTGTGTATGGTGTGTTTGAATGTGGTCAGCTGTGTTAGTGTGTGCAATGATGTGTGTATGGTGTGTTTGAATGTGGTCAGCTGTGCTAGTGTGTTCAATGATGTGTGTATGGTGTGTCTGAATGTGGTCAGCTGTGCTAGTGTGTTCAATGATGTGTGTATGGTGTGTCTGAATGTGGTCAGCTGTGCTAGTGTGTTCAATGATGTGTGTATGGTGTGTCTGAATGTGGTCAGCTGTGCTAGTGTGTTCAATGATGTGTGTATGGTGTGTCTGAATGTGGTCAGCTGTGCTAGTGTGTTCAATGATGTGTGTATGGTGTGTCTGAATGTGGTCAGCTGTGCTAGTGTGTTCAATGATGTGTGTATGGTGTGTCTGAATGTGGTCAGCTGTGCTAGTGTGTTCAATGATGTGTGTATGGTGTGTCTGAATGTGGTCAGCTGTGCTAGTGTGTTCAATGATGTGTGTATGGTGTGTCTGAATGTGGTCAGCTGTGCTAGTGTGTTCAATGATGTGTGTATGGTGTGTCTGAATGTGGTCAGCTGTGCTAGTGTGTTCAATGATGTGTGTATGGTGTGTCTGAATGTGGTCAGCTGTGCTAGTGTGTTCAATGATGTGTGTATGGTGTGTCTGAATGTGGTCAGCTGTGCTAGTGTGTTCAATGATGTGTGTATGGTGTGTCTGAATGTGGTCAGCTGTGCTAGTGTGTTTAATGATNGGGGAAGGAGAAAAGGGGGATTGATATTTAGCAGTGAATGAAAGCCATGTATGGTTGTGGGCCTGCAGTTGTTATTATTTCGAGGTTTAGGAATGATGGGTTAACTGTATCTTTCTTTAACATAAAATAGACACTGAATTAAGGAAAACGATAAGTTTATCATAAAAATTGTTTTAAAAAAATGAATTCACGGAACTTAAATTCTTTTAAAATAATGTTTGAAACAAAATCGATTTGAAGAAAGGTTAAAATCACTTCACTTTCGTTAAAAGTACCTTACAACCAAATATAATCTAAAACTATCAACCTCAACCTTTTGTTGTAAAAATTTATATTTTTATTTATTTTTTATTTCATGTTCAGGGAATTTTTATTTTTATTTTTATTTCAAGAGTTTTTATTTTAGACTTAAGATTTGGGATTTGGGATAGAATCTGTCACTTGCCACAATCCTAGCAAAGGTTGATATCAAAGCTTTAAACGATCAGGTTGCAATGTGGTTATTTTGGTTATGTTGTTATTGTGAGGGTAAAAATATGTGAGGAGAGAAAGCTGATAGTTAAAAAATTTAGACCTCGAACTACTGCACTGAACTAGACAGGAAAGGTAAAGATAAATATCTGGGATATTTCTTGGAGGACTTTGTGACCTCGTAGCTCCTTTTGGGTTTACGCACAAGTTTGAGGAAAACAAAGAAATTAAGTCTTTGCCACAAACTCGGATTTTCTAATTCCTATATCTTTCTACCAAATTTGAGACTATGAACTCTGTTGGATCAACGAATCTAAGTTTGAAATATCAAAGGTTAATACAACCAGGTTGCAAAGATATAGGGACCAAGAAAGGAATTGAGTCTTTGCCACAATCTCTGATTTTCTAGTCCCTAGTTCTTTGCAAACCAATATCATATACCTTAGATATTTCAAACTATGGATTCTGTTAGATCAACTATTCTAAGTTTGAAATATCAAAGGTTTACTCCATAAGGATGCAAAGGTATTGGAATTATAAAATTCAAGTTTGCGGCTAATATTCAATTCCTCTCCGTTTGTGCACCAAAGACTCAATCACTTTCTCGGGTTACATAGTAAAAGTAAATTCAACCTAAAGTCTGACTGCGTCAACCTTGTTGCACCGGCTAGTTCTATTGAGTAACTGCTTTATTTACCCAATGTCCAGGCGATACAGTACAAACTGGGACTGGAAAGGTTGACCCGGCTCGGAAATTCAAATGTACTACGACTGCCCATGTATAACATATTCAAAACATGTTGGTTGGTCCTTCTCAATAGCTTAACAATTGCAGATGTTTTGTTTCAATTTAGGGTGTAGTTTCTTTAGTTTTATTTTACAAAATTTTCCCCACTCAAAAACGCTTTCAAGGTTAAGAACATAATATTCTATGTATCTAAGAGGCCGGGGTGCAGCTGTACCTCAATAACTTTTTTTTTCATTCTGAAATTTAAAATAGAGAGAGTATTTGTGCTTGGGCGATGCGGCTTGTGAGACGGGTAGAGCAAGGAACGAAACATAAATAATTCATGTCACTTTAATACAAAATGAAATGGAGTCTAAAAAAAAGTCTGAAAATCCTAAAGGGGGGAATTTTATTGGCCATGTTCATGTTTTAGTCCCAAGAGTATAAAGGAATAAAGTCTTTGCTACAAACTCTGACTTTTAATCCCTTTTATCTGTGCTATGTTATTGTTCAACAATCAATTCTGTTTGATTAACTAGTTTTTAAATAATGATTAAACCATCAGCTTATAAAGATATAGGGACTAAAATATTTGTGGAAAAAAACGCAATTCCTTTATGATGTCAATTTCTTAATTTCCTAAGCAGTTTTTTTAGCCATTAGTTTAAGGTTTTTGTTCTCTATAAATACCCTTTTGAGATGGATTGTAATTGTTTTGTCTGAAGGAGTGAGGGATGGCTACTACGGCCGGGCTGGGTCACCCCCAACCCTCTAAACCAGATCAGTACGCTCCCCATACTGGCCAGCAAGACCAGTACAGTACTCGTACAAACCAACAAGACCAGTACGCTACACGCAACGGTCAACCTGATCAGTACACTTCCACACGCACTGGTCCAGGACAACAAAACGGTCTAAGGGGTGCCTTAGGACCAGAAACAGGATATCAAGGGTCATCAAGGACCTCTGAGCAGGGATACGGCAGATCTGCTGCAACTGGGTCAGACCAAGGATACCCTAGGGGAAACCCAGGACTTGACTCTGGATACTCCAGGGGTAACCCAGGAGTTGACTCTGCATACACCAGAGGTGGAGTAGGGGAACAAGGAGTTGGTAGGGGTACTACTGCCCCTGGAACACAGGACCAAGGATACGGCAGGGGTAGACAATCAAGAAGGGACCAACTAGGACCTGAAAGAGATCCTACAGTAAGAGGACAGGGGTACGCTCAGGAAGGAGGGTACACAAGATCCCAACCAGGATCTACAAGGGGTAGCCCAGCAAGTGGGCGTAGAAACACAGGACGACCAACAGGATCAAGATCCTACAATAACTCTCCCTCAGGATACCCAGAATCCTCAGTAGGGTTCAGTGAACGACCTCCTGTTGGAGAAACAGAACTAGACAAAATGGATCGAGGTATGGATAGAATGGATCGTATGGATCGCATGGACAGAATGGATAGACCTATGGATCGATCCATGGATAGAACTGTAGGTCCAATGGATAGGGCTGGGGGTCCTCATGCACGCTCAAGAAGTGCCTCAAGAGGATTTCCAACTAGAACAACACCTGGAGGTCCAGGATATCATTCCCTTGACAGAGACAGAGATGGATATGGGGGAGATAGGGATTCCTTCATGCCAATAGACAGACCTAGAGAAAGATCTTTAGACAGAGGCATGGACTATGGCCAGCCATATGGCGGAGGAGGTGTAGGAGGGGTACCCGGTGTAGGGGGAGGATATGGACGAAGAGAGCGTTCCTTAGACCGAGGTCGAGATCCAATGTTAGACCCTGATGATGGAATGTATACCGGACGAGGTGATATGGGTCCACATAGATCAACCCGTCTCTCACCAAACCCCGCTGCAATCCAGAGGGATTCCTACATAACTGACCTTCAGAGCACTAACTCTGATCTTCAGCGAGACCTGGCAAACCTGAAAAAGGAGTTAGAACTTACCAATCAAAAGCTCGGATCCTCTATGCACAGCATCAAAACATTTTGGAGTCCAGAGCTGAAGAAGGAACGTGCGCTCCGTAAAGAAGAATCGGCAAAGTATGCCCTTATGAATGATCAATTGAAGCTTCTAAACTCAGAAAATCAGGTAAAATATCAATATATCAAATCGGCAAGTAAATAAATATTGACGGAATGAAGGTTATCATTATTAATATTAGATTAGGTTAGTTTTCTATATTAAACAAAAAGTGGACATATAAACATAGTTCAAGACTTTCTTTTACTTTCCAACCAAATAGGCTTATATTAGCTTATATAGAAAGCATTAGGCATTCTCGAGAAAAGATTAATATCCAGGAATAATAAATAGAAGTTGGATAGATAGATAGATTGACACTAGCAGAGATTTATTTGTTTATATTGGGAAATGAAAACTAAAAACATATTTTATTTCCAAACACAATGTTGAGTTCTTGTCATGAATCATTATTTTAAATCTCTATATCTTTGCAACAATATTTCATATACCTTGATATTTCAAACTATTAGTTCTGTTAGATGAAATAGATGAAAAAGTTTAAACTACAACTTGAAAAGATTCACAGATTACAATATAAGAGATTTTGACAAGAACTCAGTTTCTTTGAACAAAAACCAGGTCTAATTTTTTATGAAATTCCTAATGAAAAATATTAAATCATTACCAAATAACAGCCTAATTTATCTAGCGGGAAAATATTAACTGAACTGCATTAGATAGAAAGTATCTGTAAAAAAGTGCCTAACCGTTTTGGAACTAATAGAAGACTATCGAACTGTTTGGGAGCATAAAGAATAACTGTCTAACCGTTACCGTCAGGAACAAATAAAATACTATCTAACCAGTACCGTTTAGGAACAAATGGAAAACTATTTAACTGTTTAGGAACGGAAAGAATAACTATCTAACCATTACTGTTTAGGAAAGACTGGAAAATTATGTAACCGTTACCATTTAGGAAAAAATTAAATACTATCTGACCGCTACCGTTTAGGAACAAATGGAAAACTATCTAATTATCTTACCATTAAGGAATGGGTAGAGACACTATCTAAGTGTTTAGGAGCTAAAGGAAAACTATCTAACTGTATAGAAATGACTGAAAAACTATCTAAACGTAAGGAACGGATAGAAAACTATCTAACTGTTTAGGAACAAAAACTATCCTAACCAAATAAGAATCAATGAAAAAAAATTCGAACATTCCCATTCGCCCAGCCCCAGTAGTAGTATTTTGTTATGAAAATCAAAGAATGAATTATTGCACAGTTTTTAATATAAATTCCAGAAAAGAAAATTGCATTCTTTTTAAAACAGTTTGATTCTATAATCATTTACCCAATCTCTTTGACTGTGTCTATCTATCTACCTATCTACCTATAAATATATCTATCTATCTATCTATATATCTATATAATAAATCTCTTTGCTTATATATTTATATATTTAATTGTATATATATATATGTAAGCTTCACCTCGCCAACCTGCTGGACCGAATTGACAGAAATTTATAAGGGAACCCATAGGCCGAAAATTTCCCATTTTTTTAAATCAATTTTTTTCTCTTCAAAATTTGATTTTTTTAAATTCCACTAGCAACACCTGACACTAACCTATAATATATATGTATATATGTGATTATCCATCTATCTATCTTTCTATCTATCTTAGTATTGTTGGATTGAAAAAGCACGCATTGCGGGGTAAAGAATAATTTATGCAAACTTGACACTTTGCTTTGATTTAACCTTCTCCTAGAGATGGGCATCGGTTTCGTGAACAATCAAAAACATTTCAAACGGAACAAAATGTTTGTGAACGATGGTTTCGTTCAAAAAAATTAACACACAATGGACGAATTAATTGGATCGTTTAGAGATTTTTTTTTTCTGGACAAACGACTTTTTAATCGAACTTTTGAAAAAAAAAATATTTTACCGAATGGATGGTCTCACTCAATAAACGATTTAATTAAACAATGGTACAGTTAGAAAAGGAATGAAATTAATGGAAAATGAACGATAATTCGAACAAAGAACAAATTAGGATGGTCCGTTAACGAACGATGAATGAATGAATTGAAAAAATACGCCGAACATTATCATCCCTACCCACTATGTAAATACATAAACTTGAAGTATAGATGGGGCCTAATAGTTTATCAAGTACAAAAATAAACCAATTATACACGACGTCACAAGTGTCAAATGTAACAAGGAAAACGAAATTTTCTCATATTAGTTGACATATTTTCAGAGATTAAATAAAAACTTGTAAAACCAGAAAATAAAGAAAGGAACATTGCTCGTATTTCATTGTAATATAAGCACTTTATTATCACTATTATTAGTAATTTTGTCGGACACATAAAACTGTTGACACTTGTGACGTCAGAATACAGCTGTACTGAGATAATACTTAATCTAAACCACCAGGGAAAGGGAGTAACTGTCTAACCTTGTTATAAACAAATTATAGATACAACAATTATGACCTCTGAATTTTCATGTGTCTTGTGTTTTAAGGTTATAATCATTTAAACTAGTTCTTTATCCAATTTAAGACTTTAAATGAATTTTCCAAAAAAAAGTTCTTCTGCTTTTATTGTTATGTTGATAAAAGTAAACAATGGAGGTTTGAATTCAAGAAAATAGATAAAAAAGAAATAAAAATGGATGTTTGAATAAAAGAAAATAGATAGAATAGAAATAAAAATGGAGGTTTGAATAAAAGAAAATAGATAAAAAAGAAATAGAAATGGAGGTTTGAATTCAAGAAAATAGATAAAAAAGAAATAAAAATGGAGGTTTGAATAAAAGAAAATAGATAAAAAAGAAATAGAAATGGAGGTTTGAATAAAAGAAAATAGATAAAAAAGAAATAAAAATGGAGGTCTGAATAAAAGAAAATAGATGAAAAATGTAATTAGTGTTAATTAGATTTGGCAGACATGGTGTATATATATTCATCTAGGAGGAAGACAACATTTTTACTAAAATTAGGTATCATGGAAATAAAGATATTTATTTTAAAAGTTTATTTGAATAGTTTGTTCGTTTTGTAAAAATCTATCGTGTTTTAAGTGTGTTGAAACGGTCTGACTGAACCTTAAATGCTTAAGGTTGTAATGCAAGGAAAGTCAACTGCAGTTGCGTAGACTCTGCGTACATATTGAAACTAGATCTCTCTGGGCGGAATTAATAAACAAGAATAGATGCATCAGTGTTTGTTTAGTATCCGGGGAGGTTCAAAGCATTAAATTTTGATAATTTTAAAATTTCATGTAATAGTTTCCTATTTCATTGATTTTTTATGTGAAAGATGGACCCCATGTCAGGCTTCAACATCCGTCTTGTGTTTACATTACCACCCACTGCAGTACAAAAAATACGTACACCTCTGAAATACCTTTCCTTGCATTATAACCTTGACAATGCTTAACAATATTAGATTTCTTTGAACGATCCAATTCCATTGTTCACTGGTCATTAATTTTTCTAAACGGCCCAAGCATCGTTACTGAAAAATTGAGTTCTTTAAAAAAATCTTTACCAATATATAGTCAATAAGTAGGAAAAATAGAGATGGAACAAAAACAGACTAAAATATATTTACAAATCTGCATAACAAATGTGTGTTTTTATAAGAATTGTAATGCGACAAAACACTAGAATCCCAGTTAAGTATATGGACGGGGGACCTCTAATGCAGAGTGAAGATATCTCAGTGCGCCATCATTGAGAATTTTACAACAATAGTAATTTTTATTTTACGTACTTCAACATATATATATATATATATATAACATATATCATATACAATAAAACTTCAAATCATGATATATATATTGATAGATAGATAGATGGATAGATAGATAGTGTGCAGTATGGTACTATTGGTAATATATCATTCTTAATAATAAAAACGAAAAAACTAATAAGAATATAACATTTTGTTTAGAAACAAGCCATGTTAGTTCGCCAGCTAGAAGATGAAGTTGTCAAATGTAAAACTCAGTCCAGTCATACCAACCCTGAGGTTAAGTTATATTAATATCAAATATAATCTAGGGGAGGAACAGTGTGCTTATCTGTTGTCTATAAATCTTTGTTTTTAAACGTTTTAAGAAAGTTTTTCTTTCATAGGGATATTGTTGAATATTGTTTTTCTTTCATAGGGATATTGTTGAATATTGTTTTCCTTCATAGGGATATTGTTGAATATTGTTTTTCTAATGGTTGAATATTGTTTTCCTTAAAAGGAATATGGTTTAATATTTTTTTCCTTCATAGGGATATGGTTGAATATTGTTTTCCTTTACAGGGATATGGTTGAATATTGTTTTCCTTCACAGGGATATGGTTGGATATTGTTTTCCTTCACAGGGATATGGTTGAATATTGTTTTCCTTCACAGGGATATGGTTGAATATTGTTTTCCTTCACAGGGATATGGTTGAATATTGTTTTCCTTAAAAGGGATATGTTTAAATACTGTTTTCCTTTGCAGGGATATGGTTGAATATTGTTTTCCTTAAAAGGGATATGGTTAAATATTGTTTTCCTTCACAGGGATATGGTTGAATATTGTTTTCATTCATAGGGATGTGATTTAATATTGTTTTCCTTCATAGGAATATGGTTGAATATTGTTTTCCTTCATAGGGATATGGTTAAATATTGTTTTCCTTCACAGGGATGTGATTTAATATTGTTTTCTTTCATAGGGATATGGTTGAATATTGTTTTCCTTCACAGGGATATGGTTGAATATTGTTTTCCTTCACAGAGATTTGGTTGAATATTATTTTCCTTCACAGGGATATGGTTGAATATTGTTTTCCTTCATAGGGATATGTTTGAATATTGTTTTCCTTCATAGGGATATGGTTGAATATTGTTTTCCTTCATAGCGATATGGTTGAATATTGTTTTCCTTCATAGGATATGGTTGAATATTGTTTTCCTTCACAGGGATATGGTTGAATATTGTTTTCCTTCACAGGGATATGGTTGAATATTGTTTTCCTTGACAGAATATGGTTGAATATTGTTTTCCTTCATTGGGATATGGTTGAATATTGTTTTCCTTCAAAGGGATATGGTTGAATATTGTTTTCCTTCATAGGGATATGGTTGAATATTGTTTTCCTTGATAGGGATATGGTTGATCTGGCCTTTGGTTTCATTTTATTAATTTACATATTTCTGTTAAATTGTTCAATAAATTGTTTAGCTTTAGTATTTAGAAAGTAAATAATCAAATATTTTTGCAGAGTCCTTACAAGTTCAAAATGTACATTTGTATTGTATAGGTAAAAGCTCATCTGGAGGCACTGCAGGTAGAGAATGACCATCTTACCAGGGAGATAGCAATCCTTAGGGAAACTGTCAAGGTAAATAAAATATATTATATTCTGGATTATCACTTTATTGTCTTGGGTGGATTTTTGTTAAACCAGATGTTAAGATAAAGTTTCATTATTTTTTTATGGAATATGAAATATAATTTATACCCTAAACATCATACCCTAAACTTTTGTTCGTAGAGTCGAGCTCGAATATCCTAAAACATTATTCAGAATCTCGATTTTACGAATATTGTTCAGAATCTCGAATTTACGAAAATATAGTTCAGAATCTCCAAATTACGAAAATATTTTTCAGAATCTCGAAATTACGAATATATTTTTCGAAATCTCAAAATTACGAAAATATTGTTCGAAATCTCGAATTTACAAAAATATTGTTCAGACTCTCGATCGAAATGTTAAAGTTTCTTTAACAATGTGTGCACTTGTAAAAATCTATAAAACCCTTTCAAACTTTGTTTATACTGGAGGTAACAGGGGAATTGATTAAAGTTGCAGCGGGGGAAGACAAAGCTACTGAAACTGAATCTGAGGCTAACATTTTGAGTGTAAAATATGCTCTGCATTTTCACAGAAAACCTTCAGTAGGACCCATAAATCTTTTTATTTTAAAAAAAGAAATAAAAATATTATGAAATATTAACTTTATACGAATGTGTCGAAAAATAACCGATGACTATTGTGTGTAACATCTGAATGATTTCTTTGGAACTAAATTAATTTTTTTACGATCCGAGTTGAATGTTGCAACTTTCTGAATTTGTATGGACGCTACGTTCTTCAGCATTAGTCGTTTTTTTAAAATTTTCTCCTTAGAGACACAAAAGATAGAAGTAAGATTAGTAGTGATCAAAAGTGTTTATTTTTCGCCGTAATCCTATACCCCCTTTTATTTTTCTTGAACACTCCCTTAAGTTAATTGTATGTAACATTAAAATCTTGTTTTTAATCATAACTCTTCTTGCAGTACACATATTGCAAAGGACAAAGATGTTTAAAATCTATATAATAAAACAAGCCATTCGTATATATATATATATAATATATTTAATTGTATATATATATATGTAAGCTTCACCTCGCCAACCTGCTGGACCGAATTGACAGAAATTTATAAGGGAACCCATAGGCCGAAAATTTCCCATTTTTTTAAATCAATTTTTTTCTCTTCAAAATTTGATTTTTTTAAATTCCACTAGCAACACCTGACACTAACCTATAATATATATGTATATATGTGATTATCCATCTATCTATCTTTCTATCTATCTTAGTATTGTTGGATTGAAAAAGCACGCATTGCGGGGTAAAGAATAATTTATGCAAACTTGACACTTTGCTTTGATTTAACCTTCTCCTAGAGATGGGCATCGGTTTCGTGAACAATCAAAAACATTTCAAACGGAACAAAATGTTTGTGAACGATGGTTTCGTTCAAAAAAATTAACACACAATGGACGAATTAATTGGATCGTTTAGAGATTTTTTTTTTCTGGACAAACGACTTTTTAATCGAACTTTTGAAAAAAAAAATATTTTACCGAATGGATGGTCTCACTCAATAAACGATTTAATTAAACAATGGTACAGTTAGAAAAGGAATGAAATTAATGGAAAATGAACGATAATTCGAACAAAGAACAAATTAGGATGGTCCGTTAACGAACGATGAATGAATGAATTGAAAAAATACGCCGAACATTATCATCCCTACCCACTATGTAAATACATAAACTTGAAGTATAGATGGGGCCTAATAGTTTATCAAGTACAAAAATAAACCAATTATACACGACGTCACAAGTGTCAAATGTAACAAGGAAAACGAAATTTTCTCATATTAGTTGACATATTTTCAGAGATTAAATAAAAACTTGTAAAACCAGAAAATAAAGAAAGGAACATTGCTCGTATTTCATTGTAATATAAGCACTTTATTATCACTATTATTAGTAATTTTGTCGGACACATAAAACTGTTGACACTTGTGACGTCAGAATACAGCTGTACTGAGATAATACTTAATCTAAACCACCAGGGAAAGGGAGTAACTGTCTAACCTTGTTATAAACAAATTATAGATACAACAATTATGACCTCTGAATTTTCATGTGTCTTGTGTTTTAAGGTTATAATCATTTAAACTAGTTCTTTATCCAATTTAAGACTTTAAATGAATTTTCCAAAAAAAAGTTCTTCTGCTTTTATTGTTATGTTGATAAAAGTAAACAATGGAGGTTTGAATTCAAGAAAATAGATAAAAAAGAAATAAAAATGGATGTTTGAATAAAAGAAAATAGATAGAATAGAAATAAAAATGGAGGTTTGAATAAAAGAAAATAGATAAAAAAGAAATAGAAATGGAGGTTTGAATTCAAGAAAATAGATAAAAAAGAAATAAAAATGGAGGTTTGAATAAAAGAAAATAGATAAAAAAGAAATAGAAATGGAGGTTTGAATAAAAGAAAATAGATAAAAAAGAAATAAAAATGGAGGTCTGAATAAAAGAAAATAGATGAAAAATGTAATTAGTGTTAATTAGATTTGGCAGACATGGTGTATATATATTCATCTAGGAGGAAGACAACATTTTTACTAAAATTAGGTATCATGGAAATAAAGATATTTATTTTAAAAGTTTATTTGAATAGTTTGTTCGTTTTGTAAAAATCTATCGTGTTTTAAGTGTGTTGAAACGGTCTGACTGAACCTTAAATGCTTAAGGTTGTAATGCAAGGAAAGTCAACTGCAGTTGCGTAGACTCTGCGTACATATTGAAACTAGATCTCTCTGGGCGGAATTAATAAACAAGAATAGATGCATCAGTGTTTGTTTAGTATCCGGGGAGGTTCAAAGCATTAAATTTTGATAATTTTAAAATTTCATGTAATAGTTTCCTATTTCATTGATTTTTTATGTGAAAGATGGACCCCATGTCAGGCTTCAACATCCGTCTTGTGTTTACATTACCACCCACTGCAGTACAAAAAATACGTACACCTCTGAAATACCTTTCCTTGCATTATAACCTTGACAATGCTTAACAATATTAGATTTCTTTGAACGATCCAATTCCATTGTTCACTGGTCATTAATTTTTCTAAACGGCCCAAGCATCGTTACTGAAAAATTGAGTTCTTTAAAAAAATCTTTACCAATATATAGTCAATAAGTAGGAAAAATAGAGATGGAACAAAAACAGACTAAAATATATTTACAAATCTGCATAACAAATGTGTGTTTTTATAAGAATTGTAATGCGACAAAACACTAGAATCCCAGTTAAGTATATGGACGGGGGACCTCTAATGCAGAGTGAAGATATCTCAGTGCGCCATCATTGAGAATTTTACAACAATAGTAATTTTTATTTTACGTACTTCAACATATATATATATATATATATAACATATATCATATACAATAAAACTTCAAATCATGATATATATATTGATAGATAGATAGATGGATAGATAGATAGTGTGCAGTATGGTACTATTGGTAATATATCATTCTTAATAATAAAAACGAAAAAACTAATAAGAATATAACATTTTGTTTAGAAACAAGCCATGTTAGTTCGCCAGCTAGAAGATGAAGTTGTCAAATGTAAAACTCAGTCCAGTCATACCAACCCTGAGGTTAAGTTATATTAATATCAAATATAATCTAGGGGAGGAACAGTGTGCTTATCTGTTGTCTATAAATCTTTGTTTTTAAACGTTTTAAGAAAGTTTTTCTTTCATAGGGATATTGTTGAATATTGTTTTTCTTTCATAGGGATATTGTTGAATATTGTTTTCCTTCAATCATTGTCCTGAGTAGAATAGAAACTTGAAGTGGATTGAATCTCATCAAAATAGAACGGATAGTCACCAGGAACACTGTTAATAATAATATTGTTAATAATGATACTCTATAGGTAAGGAAGAGGAGGCTAGAGTACATCAGCAAATGCAAATGGTTGCTCAGAAACAGGTAGAACCAAATAGATTATAAAGTACAATAGGTGGCAACAGAGAAATTAACCAATTATACACGACGTCACTAGTGTTAAATATACCAAGAAAAATGAAATTTTCTCACATTAGTTGACATGTTTCCAAGATAAAATAAAAAAGTGTAAAACAGAAAATAAAGATTATATAAAGTTTCACTTATTTCACTGTAAGATAAGCACTTTATTCTAAAATGATCACTATTATTAATAATTTTTTCGGACACAAAAACTGAGTTGACACTTGTGACGTAAGAATACAGCTGTACTTAGAGTGTACAAATTCTACGTTGCCATCTATTGTACAGGATCTATTATGGGTAGAACTATGACAAATATAATTATATATATATCTATATAATAATAATATATTTATAATCCTTATTTGCACGAAATCTAAGAATTAGTCGAGGACATTTTGTGGCGGTATTTCCGATTTAATTTTTGCAATAAAAGTCATGCGAGAGCACAGGGCACGCACCTTTACTTAAAGTAAATTCAACCTATATGAAGCATAAAGTCTGACTGCGTCAACCTTGTTGCACCGGCAAGTCCTGTCCAAAGAGCTCGGTACAGTACAAACTGGGACCGGAAATGTTGACGCGGCACGGAAATTCAACTGTACTACGGCTGCCTGTAAGGAATAAGCATAAGACTCTGATATTGGAAGACAACACTATGATGTTGTTGTTGTTACAAAGCAAATAGTTTTACTAGATACTTAGTACACTCCTGTATGCCGAGTCCATTAGCGCCTGATCCAATCAGGGTTCAGTCATGTGTTTGTTGTCTATTCTGAACCAATAGAAATAGTTTGGCGGTAACATCTATCTTTCTATCTAGCTCATTATCCAATTAAAGATATGAATCCTTCAATCGGCGCTATCAGTAAATAAGAATATTTACTTCTACTAAAACTATAGTCATTAAATCTCTAACTAAGTGTTATGGTTCTGTTTGCACAATTGCTGTGTCTCGTGCTTTTTGGAATATCTACAGTCATAAATGGAGTTTTAAAGTCGTCTTCTTATTCCAGAGTTTTCTGACTATCACTGTATGTACATTAAAATATTCTGTTGGTGGAACATTTAATTCTGAAAACGTATCCACCCCCAAAGTAAAAGTTTTGAACGTCGAATTTGTGCTCAAACTCATAATTTACAGATCTTTAAAAAGTTTAATATGTCTCAAATGAATCCGAAAGAAGTTTTCCACAACACTGCATACTTAGTTCAACTACCTTACATAGCCGGTCACTCCCTTTAATATGTTAAGTCTTTTATATAAAATAATCTATAAGTTTAAATATTGAATATTTACACCATAATGTTGAGGAAGCATCGACACTTTTACAATTTTTCAATGTTTGTATTCATGGCATGTTGTCATCAATACCTACGTGACTAGCAAAATATTTTCCCTTTTATTCAATAGTATTCAATATTCAAGACATTCTGTCACAGCTAGACAAGACTCTTAGATATATAAATTTATATATATTCTAAATGTAAAAGTAATTCTATTGAATGTTAGAATGGCAAATTCAAATGCTTTTCCTTGCCTAAGTATGAATTTTACAGAAACCTTTTTTTAATCGGGGTGTTTTCATTTAAGCGTTTTTTTTTGCAAAAGTGACAATTGCGCATTTCTTGCGTCAGAATTTGTGAAAAATTGTCTGAATCAAACACTTCTTTATTAACATGATTGCACATACATTTACCTAAAAAGTACATATACATTCAAAGCACGATTAAGTAAATGAAATGCATACTTTATGTACACTAAATGTAAATCCACATGTACGTTTAAGTATACACACAAGACCATGAAATATTTGACTGAATGTGCATGAAAAGTATGACTTCATACACAAAAGCATAGCTAAATTTAGATAAAATGTTTGACTACACATATGCATGAAATGTATGAATATCTGTACATAAAATATATGAATACATGAACATGAAATAAATCACTATATGTACATGCAATGTCTGACTGTATGTACAAACGTTATATTTAACATAAATACATGAACTGGATGCACACATAGACATAAAATGTATGTGCACATGTACACGAAATGTATTTACACATGTACATTTTAGGTTGACGAGATGAGAATGGAGGTATCACGACGGGAACAGGAACTTATGCAGATGTCAACAAAGATGAAGGTCTATTTTTTAAATTAACATTTACAATTTTCTTAATTTTTGTTGTTACTTAATATTTACTGTTTTTACATTCTAAAAAATTTGTTTTATTTATTTTGGTTACTTTGTTTGTTTACATTATACAAGTTAAATTAAAGCAAATTCCACGTAACAATGAAAACTATGTTTTCAATCATAACTTTCTTGATTGAAGAGCTAATGAGAAAAAAATGTAAAATATCTACAATTTAACAATTTAACTTGTAAACGGGTGATTTTCTTATAATTTGCAAAAAAAATCAAAACTAGTGGCGCTACGAGGTCACAAAGTCTAACCAGCAATGTCTCATACATTTTACTTTCTCCTTCAAGATTATCAGAAACATATTATTATTGTTTATACAAGAGCAGCATCAAGATTATCAGAAGCATATTATTATTGTTTAGAAAAGAGCAGCATCAAGATTATCAGAAGCATATTATTATTGTTTTAAACCCTAGAAGAGCAGCATCAAGATTATCAGAAGCATATTATTATTGTTTAGACCCTAGAAGAGCAGCATCAAGATTATCAAAAGCATATTATTATTGTTTTAGACCCTAGAAGAGCAGCATCAAGATTATTAGAAGCATATAATTATTGTTCAGACCCTAGAAGAACAGCATCAAGATTATCAGAAACATATTATTATTGTTTAGACCCTAGAAGAACAGCATCAAGATTATCAGAAGCATATTATTATTTTTTAGACCCTAGAAGAGCAGCATCAAGATTATCAGAAGCATATTGCTGTTCTCAAGGAGAGCTTGTGTGCTAAAGAAGAACACTACACAATGCTACAAACTGATGTAAGTTTATTTTAAAGGGACTGTAAGCGTAGCTTCAAGAGACCCTCCATGAAAAGATGGCAGTGTCTGATTTATTATGATACCCTTGCCACCTTTGTCTGATAACTATGTGGAAGATATTGTCGTTTTTCAAGGTTTGAAAGTGTTAGCCTATGGTTAATTTTGATATATTTTCCTTCAAAGAAATGCGCAAGTCACTTTTTTAAAGAAACCACAATTTAAAATAACCAGAGCTGAGAATTTTAGAATGTTGGATTGATATCGAGATTAATTCTTGATCCTCTCTTTTTCTTGATATCGAGACTAACCTAATCTTGTGCTTGTATCCTGAAAAGTGTATAAAATTCAACCAATCATAGTCGCGTATATGAAGCCGGTAAATTTGAAATTTTGCGCGACATTTAAGATTAATATACAGAAACGGGCGGGACTCTAAATTAAAAAAAAATCAAAGTTTTCAGCTCAGTTTATTTAAATTATAAACATTGATATCTAATTTATACTTGATCAGACAAAGCTTTTATGGATATTAAGTAATAAATTGGACATTGCCATCTCGAAATTACGATTATAGTCCCTTTAAATTTATTTTTAATTTTTACATTATTTCAATATTCTTGCCTGCTGTGTTATTTTTAGGGTTACCATTACAGGATGAGAAAGAAAAGACGGCTTTATTGTATTTTTTAAATCTTATTTTTGGTGTTTTTTAAAAAGTCTCATTCTGTGTTGATAACCCTGTATGTTTCTGTTAGTTGGAGACTTTGCTTATTTCAAACATCTTTATTTAGTGAAATTTAGTTTTAATGTTGAATTCAAATCACAATCAAGTAATGAATGCCAATTTCATAACACACCTTTTTTACTGTTTTCGACATCAGACATTTCATTTTAACATTTATTTTTTCCCCCGATTTAGTATGATCATAAAGACAAGGATTATGGAAAAAAGGTAGAAATCCGCCAGCTGTAGTTTTTAGAATAGGATAACTAGACGCGGTATTTTCAGTGTACACTGCGCATCAAGAAAATGGCGTCCTATTTCATGTCTGTTATAATAGAATTATTTAAAACCAGTGTTCTGGTAGAAATGTAGAATAGTTTGAAACGTTAACGAGAAATAAAATTGCAAATTTAATTTAATTTCTGCAACAAAGTGTAGTTTTAGCAGTTGAACTTGACAAATCATGGAATAAATGGAATTTGTCAAACATAGATTGTAAAATTCTAAATTCAGTATAAATACAAAAAGATTTATTGCAAAAAATATGGCCGTTTTCAGTTTTTACCTGGATTTTTATTCTTAGAATTGGAATAGATATTTTTTGAGTAGATTTATGTACAGTTTCAATCGATTCACAAAAGTACCCTCAAAACTTTCGTATAAGCAAAATTATTGTTTTAAATTAAACTCTGTTTCAACACTTTTAAAGCAAATTGAATTATGTAGAAAAGACAACAGAGTAGATTAACAGATTTAATTGCTCACGCACCTCTGCTGACCCTGCAGTAAAAGTATAAATTAAACCTAAAGTCTGATCGCGTCAACCTTGTTGCACCGGCTAGTCTTATCAAGTGTCTGCTTTATTTACCCAATGTCCGGGCGATACGGTACAAACTAGGACCGGAAAGGCTGCCCGTGTGTTGTACACTGTACGGCTGAAAGTTGAAAGGTTACTATTGTAAACCGAGCATGAAACTCTATAATAAGAGAGTCACCTTGAATTACATTAATAGTTTTGTGGTTCTTCAACGTGAAAAGCTAGTTGTAAGAACTAGTACAATACGATTATTTAGATAATAATAGGTTTATTAGTTAGTCTAGCTGAAGTGCCCGGAGTTGCCCGTGGACTTTTAAAAAAATTGGAATTTTGAAAAAAAAAGTTCAATTTTTTAGCCTATGTTATCCCCGGGTACCCATTTTGTCATGAAACGCAACAATCTTCTTATAACATTTTATTCATAAACAAATTGTTTCATGCTTTTATGCAATCATCAGTATATATATATATATACTAGCCTTAGAGGGTGCTTCGCGCCCATCTTCTAAATTAATTGTGAACAATGTTCTCTTTGAGTACATCGTAAAACAAAACAAAAATAACTCGCGGATTTTCACAAAAATTTCGTGGATTTTCAAAATTTTAAAAAATTTAATGAAGATTGAATTTTGATGGAGACAAATATTTAAAATTTCAATCATTCATAAACCTTCCCTGGGGTCCCTAGATGTCCCACAAAAAATTTGGGCCCGATCGGTTCAGCCGTTTTGACGTTTATTGGATTCAAACAAACAGACAGACAAACAAACAAACAATCAGACAAGCCAAATTTATATATAGATATATACGAGGGAAGAGCTTTAATATGTAGATATATAGGTTATTACAGATATAGATTTACTAGTTAGTCTAAGAAAATATGATTACTCTCTTTTCAAACATTTATTTATTTATTTATTTATTTATTCATTTGCTTCATTTTAATCTTACTGTGACCGTGACTGTGACTGTAGAATAGATTTTCTGTAAGATAAAGTATTTTCTAGATTCAAATTAATTATATCCAAATGCAGTTTCTGTATGCGGTAGAGGCAAAGAAATAAATTGCCAGAAATAAAAACTTTGAAATAAACACTTTTAATGAATATTTTTATCATCGTTCCTCAGCTACTGTTGTGAATCAAACTTGCCATTCTTAAATTGAGGGGTTCCTTAATTTATATTGCCAGCAGTCCATGTAACAATGTGGTATAAATTTAATTAAGGTTTAACCAAAGATTAATAAAAATACAGATAGAACAATAGATTAGACTGATGCAGAAGCATTGAATGACGAAATGATAGTGAGCATGCGCGGAACTCCTTTGGGCTTCTGCCTCAGGGATATTGTGAACGAAAAACCCCTAAATCTTGAAAAGACGACATCTAGTGTTCTATCTTTAGTGTTAATTAATCAATGTGTCTAACATTTCATCAAGTGGTTTAAAAGTTTTTGAAGTGTTTTGTCATCTATTAATAGTTCTATAAAACTTTTTTCTTAATCAAATCATCTTCTGTCTTCGATCAGATCCATGCTTTATAACAAAACTTCAGCAGTTCTTTTGACATTCAGAAAAAATATAAAAATCATAAGCTGGCAATTTACAAAGATAAATTATCTTGGAACCCCAAAAATATTCAAGTTTCTGATATGATGTTAAAATGTTTTTAATGGGATATTTTTTTAGAGAAAAAAGATTATTAAACCTGATATTCAGCAGTCCAAAAACGTTACAGCAAAGAGTACGGAAACCTTATCGCCTCCTCCTTCTATTCAATTCTCCTTGCACAGCTCTAACTTTGTCTAAGTCAATACCAACTCCAAAACAAGGTGGTTTCCCCTTGAAACTGTTTTACAAGCTAAACATACTAAACTTGGAAGAAACTTGATCTCTCCTGGGGGCTGCCGGGGACAAAGCCACTAAATTGTGACAAAATATTTATGTAATTGTGTTTTCAAACAATTCTAAATAAAAAAAAGAAAAATAAACAGTTAAAAGAAAAAGAACACACACAAAGTTAAAATAAATAAACTGTCAAACTTTTAAACAACAAAGAACTTTCAATTTAGAATATTACCTTAATAAACGAAGAACTTTCAATTTAGAATATTACCTTAATAAACGAAGAACTTTCAATTTAGAATATTACCTTAATAAACGAAGTGTAATTAAAAAAAAACATACATTCAAAAATGGATAACACACTTTTCTCATGCTTTTGGTTAAATTATACCAACAAGAAACAAGCAAGAAACTGAACAGAATTATTTCCATAAACAATTCTTTTTCTTCAGTCAGACATTATCATTATTAATATGAATCATCTTTTACATTGAAACTATGCTCAATACATTTAATAAGATTATAAAATTAATTATATAACAATAAAAAGCTACGATATAAAAACCAACTCTGAAACTGAGAATTAATGAGCTTTTCAAAAAACATTTACTGTTTTTTTCAGTATTACGTTTTTTATATGATATTATAGATTTTTCAGTTGACAGTTAGTTTTTAACCTTTTAGGTTGATGAACTGAGACATAAATTAGACTCAAAGAACAAAATGATTGAGAAAAAGACGCAGGAAGCATTACAGGTAAACACGTGGCAATGTCAGGAAAAAATGCGGGAAAATTATCTGATCAGCCATTTTTTAAATAATACTCGTTTCTCCTAATCAATAATTAATATCAAAGATAAATACATTAATTGTTTAACATATTTAATAATTTTACGGCATTTTAACCAACTGTACCGACCTATTATTCCTCCAACAGAGGAACGTTAAGTTACTTAACGTTTCTTTAGACAATTTAGCAAAATAAAATAACCCCAGCTGCTCTGCGAACTTTTTGTGACAAAATTCGCGTATTTTCATGATAAAAGATAATAAAATAAAAATAATAAATAATAAAAAATAATAAAATAATAAAAAGATAAAAGATGATAAAATTGGTAACAAATACTTTTTCGGGAAATTTAAATTTTTATTTAATCACGGTTTACAAACTTTCTTCGCTGCTTTCTGGATGCCTTTTTGAAGCCTTGGAAATGTACAATTCCATTAACTACCCTGTAAATTAGTTATAAATAACCAAAAACAATCTGATTTAGTGTTCATAAAATTTAGTATACACATACTTTAAATAATCTAACTAATCTTGTTTAGGCAACACAGGAGAAGAATAGAATCTCTTCCGAAATCAACGAAATAAGGAAACCAAATAATTTCTTTTCAAATTGTAAGTTCTATAATTCTGTCCACAGTTTGAAAAAATGGGCTCAGTTTTTGTGTTGGATCTGACTTGGCCCTGGTTGTGAATTTTCCAAATTGAACTAGCTTTTAAATTGAAATTTTAGTTTTAATTCTTTGATTTTAAATAATTTTGGTTACAGAGATCATCTGGATATAAAAGACCGGAAACTGAGTGTTCTGCAACGAAAGGTAAATAAAAAAAGAACTGTTCAATCTTACTCTGTTACTTGAGAGTTCGGTTTCTTTTTTCATTTTGATCGTTTATCCTTTGTGAACAACCCATTTCGTTTTTTTTTCAATAGATCAAAAGCGATTTATTTTGTTCGTTTTCTCACTGAAAATTAAATCGTTTATTAAGTAAAGTGCGTTCTGTAAAAAAAAACTGTCAATTTTTCAAAATCTTTCCAAACATTTGTTTTTTTTTCAAATCGTTTGAACGTTTTTTAAATTTTTCTTTTTTTAAACAGCACCATCGTTCACGAAAAATGTTGTTTGTTGTTTGTTCGTTCACAAAACAAGGCCCATCTGTAATTTTGAACTATTTATCTCAGAAATTCAAGTTATTCCTGCAGGGTAAGTTATTCCTGCTGGATAACGGAGATACATTTTTAAATCTCGGGATTCACAAAAGTTATGACTTTATTCTACTTTCCTTAATCATTAATCATTTTCAAATAGTGGAGGGGGGATTTTCATTTTGAAGAAATGAACGAGTTAAGAAATAAAACTGTTCTATTCTATTATAAAATAGTTTTTATTTGATTCTTTCTACTTTAGATTGAAAACCTTGAAGATTTATTAAAAGAGAAAGATAACCAAGTGGATTTGGCAAAATCGAAACTAGCACAGGTAATAATAATAATGATAATAATGATAATGATGATAATAATGATAATAATGATAATGATGATAATAATGATAATAATGATAATGATAATAATGATAATGATGATAATAATGATAATAATGATAATGATGATAATAATGATAATAATGATAATAATGATAATAATGATAATGATGATAATGATGATAATGATGTTAATGATGATAATGATGATAGTGAGGATAATGATGATAATGATGATAATGATGATAATGATGATAATAATGATAATGATGATGATGATGATAATGATGATAATGATGATAATGATGATAATGATGATAATAATGATAATGATGATAATAATGATAATGATAATAATAATGATAATGATTATAATGATAATAATGATGATAATGATGATAATGATGATAATGATGATAATGATGATAATGATGATAATGATGATAATAACGATAATGATGATAATGATGATAATGATGATAATGATGATAATGATGATAATGATAATAATGATGATAATGATGATAATGATGATAATGAATGATGATAATGATGATAATAATGATAATGATGATAATAATGATAATGATGATAATAATGATAATGATAATAATAATGATAATAATGATAATGATGATAATAATGATAATGATGATGATGATGATAATGATGAAAATGATGAAAATGATGATAATGATGATAATGATGATAATGATGATAATGATGATAATGATTATAATGATGATACCTAGGTTCAGAATCAGTCTCACAGCAGTGAAGGAGCACTATCAAGCCTAGAAGAAGCACTGAGTGACAGGTATTTTATTTATATGTATATAAAACATATTTTATCACAAAATGAGAACATCTTCAAAAATATATGTTATCAAGAAGAGCTCTTCCAATTCTTAATTTCTTACGAAAAACAAGTAATAAAAAAACGTCTAGCATTAAAAACAATATGTACAATAAGAACATGAATTGTTTGCTGACAGTGACTAATAAAAAAAATACTTTGCTAAGATTAGGTAGATTAATGTATTGTTACTTCTCTGGTAGAACCAAATAGAGATTATATACAGGGAGAACCAAAAAACTGTGGACTATGAAGACGACATTAAAGAAATAACTTGCCACAAAGCAAATACTTTTACTAACAACTTATTAAATCACTTAGTATAAGTGAAATAGGTCGGTCTACACTTTACAATTGGTGTGTCTCATATTAATTTGACTATTTCTTAACTAACTTTGAGTCTTAAAGTCTTCTTTCTTTTACAGAGTACTCTGCGTTTTAGATTCTGATTTTAATATTAAACAAATTGTCAGACATTAATTTTATTTCTTGTTTCAATTTCTTTACTTCTTGCAATCTCGTAAACATCTAGAAGTTAACAACTTTGGACAAATCTTTACAAATCCTTCCAGGAGGTTTTTTCAAGATTACTTTTCAAGCAAAGACGACTATTTCTCTGGATGATAAAAAAGCGGGGCATTAAAAAGTTATTTTTTTGCATGTATCATTTACAGGTTATAAAAAACTTAATTACCTCTTTCTATTTTAAAAGAAATATTAAAATTTCTTTTTCTTTCTTTATTTCTAGTTTTTATAAATTATTCCACTGGAACAGGTTTCAATTCAAACTATTTGTCAATGGTCTAGATCTAAAAGAGTTTATAAATACTTTGCAGAAATAGACCAAAGAATTCTGGAAAATCTGCAAAAGCTTCTCGAATAAAAAATCCGCATCTTCATCATTTTAGAAAAGAAGATTATTACAAAAAGTCCCAAAATACTAAAGAACAGTTAAAATATGAATGTCAAAATTTTCTCTAAAAAAGTGGTGAGTGTTTTTAGCACTCCTAACTTAATTTAAGGTAATCATAATAACAAGAAATTTAAATTGATTACGAGTTTTAAATTTCGTCAAATAAAAAAATTTAATATATTTAAAATTGCCAAATGTGCTGAGAATACATTATTCTAATTATTTGATTTGATTTGATACAATCGTTATTTTCCTTATTTTAAAAATTCTGAAACTATTAGACTTTCAGGAGACTACATAAAAAGAAATTAAAGTTTGCTTGTATATTACCTTAACATTTAGCTAAACAACGATTGATTTTGCTTCCTTCAGAGTCAAAGTTTTGTATAAACTAGGAAAACTGAAAGTTAATAAAACCTTAAATTACGTTTGACTTTTTTGATGTGATAACCATACAATAATGGAATAGCTAGACGACATTATAACAATACGTAAGTGCATTTATTGCTGTTTTACTTTAGACACTTTTAGAATCACTAATTTAGTGAAATGGGTCTGTTTAGACTGAAAAATGCCGTATTTCATGCTCATTGGACGTTTAAAAAACTATACTGGATTATAAAAATCGTCTTACTATTTTAGAGTTTTCTGGTTATCACTGTAAAAGTCGCAAATTTTAGAATATCTAAATAACAAAAACAAAAACTATTCCCTTCTCTAATACATTGGAATGCTAAAAATAAAAAACCTACTCGTTCGAAGTAAATACCTAATGAATCCTTATAAATAATGAGATTAGGCCGCATCAAGGAATGGATAGAATATTCTATTGGAGTGTAAGTAATCAGATTACTATGTTTAAGCACCAAACTCTGAAGATCGTTATTTTATACTGCCCTAATGATGGACATCTTTTTGACATCTAAAGTGTTTCAAAAAAATGGGAGTCAATTATTAAATTGCAAAATTGTTTCCTTGATAAGTTTGCTCTAATTACAAAATGCGATTTTTTTCCCTGTGCTCCAAGATATTAAGAAAAACTATTCTTCAAAACTATAAACGATTCTATAATCGTTTTGTACGTTGACACAAAGTGAGAGTAAGTTTAGATTTTATTTGGTTGGCCTCTCTCTGTTTGCTTCTTCATAGTTTTATCCATATTATATACTATAAATCTAAATATATAAAGTTGTAATCTCTGTTCGTTTGTTTTTCCGGTCATAACTCAGGAACCACTTGACCAATTTACTTGCCTAATATTTTTGGGAACTCAGGAGAACCACAGGAATTTCTAAATTGAGGGGATCCTTTTTTTAGAGGAAAATAGCTCGTAATTTACGACCAAGCGCGGGTAAACGGCAAGATTAACTTTTGAGTACCCTTGGGAAGAAAGCTAGTATTTATTTATGTATATATATATATGTTTTTTCCCGCTTGCACACTTTTAATGGTTTATTAATAGGATTATAAATATCAGAAATCTGATTACTGGTCTCTCACAGATAAATATAGACCACGTAGAACAATATGTACACTCAGAGATAAATATAGACTACGTAATATGTACACTCAGAGATAAATATAGACCACGTAGAGCTACATGTACACTCAGAGATAAATATGGACCACGTTGAACTACATGTACACTCACAGATAAATACGGACCACGTAGAAATACATGTACACTCAGAGATAAATATGGACCACGTAGAACCACATCACTCACAGATAAATATAGACCACGTAGAACTACATGTACACTCACGGATAAATATAGACAATCTAGAACTATATGTACACTCAAAGATAAATATAGACCAGGTAGAACTACATGTACACTCACAGATAAATATAGACCGCATAGAACTACATGTACATACATATAAATATAGACCTGCAGTCATTTTGGTCATATTTTTACTTCGCATTCAAAACCCGTAAAGAAAAGATGATAAGCGAGCTTTAACTGCTTAAATATTTAGAAATTGTATCCAAACAAAAAAGTTGAAAATAGCAAATACAAAAAAATCTACATTTAATGGAAAAATGGGTCCGAAAACTTTTTAAAAAAAGGGAATCTTAAAAAAATAACCCTTAATTTGTTAAAACTAAACAATAATTTTTTAGGGACAAGCAGATAAACCAGCTGAGGGATCAACGCGATAGAGCAGAGAAAGATGTTAAAGAAGAGAAGGGAGGAATTATCATTGTAAAACTAAGAAATCAGCAAAACATTTCACCAGAATATCCGCCAAAAATTGAGAAATTTCATTTGAACTTTGTACAAAACTTGAAAAAATCTTGAAATCAATGTAAACCCAACAAAGAGTTAATAATTTACAAGAAAAAAGAATTTTTTTAGGAAAGCAATTGGAAACTTGATCAATGGGATTTAATTTTTGATTTCTAAAAGTATGTTACCCATCGAAAAGTTAAGCTGCAACTTATTTATATCATAAGAAATTTTAAATTTTATTTCTATATTCACTTGTTTGAATTTCCAAAATGAGAATTCAATGAAAACCAGGAGCTCCATGAAAGAGAAATAGCGGACTTTAAGATGAAAATCCATTCTTACGAATCCGAGGTTAGTTATTAATATGATTGGTTCTCTACACCTTGCCTCAAATTGCGATTGGGAAACCCACGTGAATGTTCTTAGCTTGGTTTTGAGATTCTAATTATTTCTAGGGAAAATTAGCTAAAATCGTAATTTAAGACAAGGGGCGTGTAAACGGCGGGACTAACTATGAGTCCCTTGTACCACCCCGGGTTCCCGTCCTAGTATACTACATTACTACAGAGAGATTATCCAGTTAGCTAGGAAGCCAAACCAAGACTATTTTCCTCCAGAAGCATTTAATATTGCACTGATTTTAAGTACGCATTGTAGTGACAGTTAGATGGGAGTAAATCAAGGAGTAAGAAATAGAAAGAAGATATACATGACGCGGCCCGCCCTACCAAACGCTTATTCATGCTTTGAATAAGAAATATTTGTCTGATGTACAAGTACCGCAAATACAATAACCTATTCTGAATATTTCTTATAAAAATGGAGCACCCGTCTGCAAAGCATGCATAAGCATGTGGTACGGCGCGCCACGTCAGTTGTATCTCCCTTCTATTTCATACTCCTTGGAGAGGATGCATTAGGACCTGCACTAAACAGAGTAGTGCCATTTCCATTCAGTTCCAAAAGTTGAAATTACTTTTTTATTTTTTTTGTTTGTTTCTAGAGCTTTGCTACTATATTACTACAAAGTAATTGGCTGGATATTATCCAATTAGAAAGCAAGACTATTTTCCTCCAGAAACATTTTATATTGGACATTAACAAAATAGTTTTACTGAAGTCAATGGGGGGGGGGCAGGGCTGTTGGGGGGGGGGGATGTTTTGACATCAAATTATTTAAAGTTTCTAAAAATAATTTAGCTACGGGAACTGAATAAGCTTCATGTAAGCATGGTAAGTTAAAGTGTGTGCTTAAAAACCAAAGAGACAATTCAAAATTCGCAATTTTGCATGGACTATGTACGAATGAGCGGTTTATCAGAAAATTCGCAATTTCGCATGACTAAATGGACAATACAAATGCAAAACTGTTTTTGGCATTTTTAACAGTTTTGAAAACAAAAAAGACTTAAAAGGAAAACAATCTCAAAGGACCATTTTTGCGCTTTGTCGATTTTTATTCTCTAACCATTTTTTTCCGGAGTAAAAAATAAAAAAATTAGTGAATAATAAATAAAGTATAGACTAGAAAGAAAAAGTAAAGAATAGTAAGAAAAAGAAACATATAAAAAGAGAAAAAAAGGAATAGAAAGAAAAAGAAACTTATAAAAAGAGAAAGAAAGGAATAGAAAGAAAAAGAAACATAAAAAAAAGAGAAAGTAAATAATAGAAAGAAAAAAAACGTATAAAAAGAGAAAGTACAGAATAGTAAGAAAAAGAAACGTATAAAAAAGTAAAGAATAGAAAGAAAAGGAAACATATAAAAAGAAAAATTAATGAATAGAAAGAAAAAGAAATGCATAAAAAGAGGATGTAAAGAATCAAAAAGTACAGAATAAAAAGAAAAGTAGTGAGTAGAAAAGAACGAGAAAGTAAAAAATATGAAGAGAAAGAAAAACACAGAAAAAGAAAGTAAAGCATTAAAAGAGAAAAAAAAACAGAATAGAAAAGAAAGTAATGGAGAGAAAGAGAAAGAAAAATGAAGAAAAATAAACAAGAGAAAGAGAAAGCTAAGAATGAAAAGAAAGTATAAAAGACACAAACAAGTAATAATCAAAAAAGTTTAGTTTCTGGAAGAAAAGTTTGTTGAGTTTATCTTTCAATCTACCTATCTAGCCCTAAAAATATCTATCTATCTAGCTTTATATATATTTGCTTCAACATCTATTTATCTACCTAACTATCTAGCTATATATATTTGCTTTAACATCTATTTATCTACCTAACTATCTAGCTATATATATTTGCTTTAACATCTATTTATCTACCTAACTATCTAGCTATATATATTTGCTTCAACATCTATTTATCTACCTAACTATCTAGCTATATATATTTGCTTCAACATCTATTTATCTACCTAACTATCTAGCTATATATATTTGCTTCAACATCTATTTATCTACCTAACTATCTAGCTATATATATTTGCTTCAACATCTATTTATCTACCTAACTATCTAGCTATATATATTTGCTTCAACATCTATTTATCTACCTAACTATCTAGCTATATATATTTGCTTCAACATCTATTTATCTACCTAACTATCTAGCTATATATATTTGCTTCAACATCTATTTATCTACCTAACTATCTAGCTATATATATTTGCTTCAACATCTATTTATCTACCTAACTATCTAGCTATATATATTTGCTTCAACATCTATTTATCTACCTAACTATCTAGCTATATATATTTGCTTTAACACCTATTTATCTACCTAACTATCTAGCTATATATATATTTGCTTCAACATCTATTTATCTAACTAACTATCTATATTTGTTCTAAATACTTCAACAAAATGTTGGGAAACTATCGATTAGAGAACCTGCAGAATACAGGGATAAAGGGATGCAGGGATAAAACGATACAGGGATACAGGTATACAAGAATACAGGGGTACAGGAATACAGGGATACAGGAATACAGAGATAAAAGGATACAGGGATACAATAATACAAGGATACAGGAAAACAAAGATACTGCAGGGATACAGGGATACAGGGATACAGGGATACAGGGATACAGGGATACAGGGATACAGGGATACAGGGATACAGGGATACAGGGATACAGGGATACAGGGATACAGGGATACAGGGATACAGGGATACAGGGATACAGGGATACAGGGATACAGGGATACAGGGATACAGGGATACAGGGATACAGGGATACAGGGATACAGGGATACAGGGATACAGGGATACAGGGATACAGGGATACAGGGATACAGAGAATTAGTTAGACAGGGATACAGGAATACAGGGATAAAGAGATACAGGGATATCTGGAAACAAGAATACAGGGATACAGGAATACAGGAACACAGGGGTACTGCAGGGATACATGGATAGAGGGATACAAGGATACAATTATACAGGGGTACAAGGATGCATGGATACAGGGATACAGGGATACAGGAATAGAGCGATACAGGGATACAAGAATACAGAGAATTAGTTAGACAGGGATACAAGGATAAAGTGAGACAGGGATACAGGACTACCATGGTTAAGAATAATTAAATTCGATCATTAATTCTAAAAAAATTTGCATTAGATAAAACTTAATTAGGACAAGATTTTAACTTTTATCTAGTTTAAAAGTTTTAAAACATTGAGAGTTCAAAAATATATGCAATGCAATTTGCTTTAGATTTTTTTAGTGTACCCGGTACAGTTACAATCAGTTTATTAGTAAAACAAATTGGATTGCAATATATATGTATTAGAAAATCAGAGTGTGTGGCAATAACTCAAAAAGAAGTTTCTGACTTATCTCTTTATGCTCTCTCTGTTTCCTAATAATAAAACTACAACAAAACAAACATGATGACCTCTCTCTGTCTATCCACTCTATTTTCTACTAAAAGTAAAACTTCACAAAGACTCGTCTGCTATTCTCTTTATGCCATCTCTGTGTTTTACTAAAACTTCATAAAGACCCATCTGACCCATCTGTATGCCCTCTCTGTGTCTACTAAGCCTAAATAAAGACATATCTCCTACTCTCTGTATACCCTCTCTGTGTCCCACTAAATATACATAAAGACGTATTTACTATTCACTGTATACCCTCTCTATATCTAGCAAAGTGTATGCTGTTTGTTCAGGCTAAAAGGTATCTGAAAGTGAATAAAATAAGACAATGATCACANAATTTTGTACATAACCAGCGGTAATTTCCTAATATACGATTTTTTAACCCCCCCCCCTTCCTCTCCTATAATTTTTTTACATGGATTTCACATGTAACACTCACCGGGACCAAATATAACGCCCGGTCTAGATGTAACGCTACACCTGGGAAAATCTGAACCAATCAGAGAAAAGGATTCGCGTATACCATCGCTTATCAGTTGTTTTATTAACTTTCAGTAATTTACGTAACCGAAAACAAAACATATTTCCAGTTACAACCTTTTTTTGGGTTTACATGCAAAAATTAATTAATCTTAAACGTGAAATTTCTTCAATCAAGGTTTTCACTTTTAAATATATCGTAAAGTTGAATGCTACTTTCAGTCTCAGCGAGTTAAATATTTAACCCCAGGGTTAAAATTCAGGTTTAAATTACGTCTAAATTTAAACTGAACTTAAAATTTTAATTGGAAATTTTCATTCTTTAGTTTTAGACTCTGATGGTTTAAACTTAAACTATTAAGTCAATGAGAATATTCATACTTAGAGGTTTAAAATAATTCGAATTAGAGATTGTGTCAAATGTTTCCTGTTTTCATCTTCAAGGGTCATGAAAAGTCAGTGATTATTATTCAATCTATGGAACTTTATTCATGGAAGGATTAGCACCTGATCCAATCAGGGTTCAGTCATGTGTTTGTTGTCTATTCTGAACCAATAGAAATTGCATGGCGGTATCATCTATCTTTCTATCTAGCTCATCCAACTTGAGATAAATACTTATTTCGGCGCTATAACAGTAAATGTACAGCTAGGCCTGATTATTTTAATTTACTTTTATTTTTAGTCTGAGTTGGGCAAAGTTAGAGCCGAACTTGACAAAACACAGGTTAATTATTTGTATTGTTATTATTCTAATCATTATACACAATTATCATTATTACTTCTAATTTACAATTTACTTGCCATCAAATCAAATCAGATTTATGGCTGCAATTATTATGAAATTAATATCGTGAAATGAAATGACATGACAGCTTTCTTAATCTGAGAAAATTGATTTGAATTGATGAATAATTATTAATTAATAATAATAATCAAATCAGATGTATGGCCTGCAATTATTAT